ACTTTCGGCTGTAAAAGCAGTCCCAAAATTTTTGACATGCTTTCAGAAGCACTCTGCTGGATTCTACAAAACAATCACGCAATCCCGTACCTCATCCATCTCCTCGACGACTTCCTCGTCATTTCACCAAGTAATTTCCCTCCAGCAAAACACTTAACCGTCATCCAAACAGTGTTTTCCAAACTAGGAGTTCCCCTCTCTCTCGAAAAAACCGAAGGCCCTTCTACGTCATTGGAATTTCTTGGAATCCTCCTAGACTCTGTCAAATTCCAAGCTTCTCTCCCCAAAGAAAAAATAGTTTGCATAATCACAATCGCATCAAATTTGCTGGAAGCTAACCATTGCAGCAAGCGCGATCTGCTTTCTCTCCTAGGCCACCTAAACTACGCAATGCGCATAATTCCCCAAGGCCGGCCTTTCATTTCCCATCTGCTAACTCTCGCTACCTCAGCATCTAGTTTAGAAGACATAATTTCACTAAGCCAACCATGTAGGGCAGACCTGAAATTATGGATCTCATTCCTCAAACAATGGAACGGGATTACCTTCTTCTACACCGACTTCGTGTCCCGACCTTGCGACATCACCCTGTTCACTGACACTGCCCCCTCCAAAGGTTTTGGAGGTTTCTACAGAGGACGTTGGTTTGCCTCAACCTGGCCTCCTGAGCTAACCAATACACCTCAAACCGCTGATTCGACCGCCCTGTTCGAGCTGCTAGTAGTAGCAGCCTATCTATGGGGATCCGAATGGTCAACAAAAAACATTCCGTTCCACTGTGATAATTCCGCCACCCTTTACTGTATCAACAAAAAACGTTCCAATGCTCCAAAAATCATGCCCTTTCTAAGGCGCCTCATTTGGATCTCTGCCTGTCATCAATTCATCATCAAAGCTGAAAATATTCCAGGTCACAAAAATGAAATAGCTGATGCTTTATCCCGTTTTCTTTTCCAGAAATTCAGAACATTGGCTCCGGAAGCAGACTCCAATCCAACTCCAGTTCCACCTTATTCAGAACTCATATTCCTCTAGAACATCCCCTCAGTCATCTCCATACCCTATCCATGAATACCATCCTACAAGCTGTTTCTCCCAGAACGCTTCAAACATACTGGACAGCTTGGGGTTCTTTCAAAAAATTCCACAGAGCTCACAACATGGTCTTTCCAGAGTTTTCCCTCCTCTCAATATCCTCCTTCGTCACATACCTCCATCACACCACCTCAATTAAACCAGGACCAATCAAAGTCTACCTCAGCGGAATTCATTTCTTTTTTAAGCTACTCCATGGCCAACAGTGCCCCAACATTTCAAATCCCCAGATTTCTCTCCTCATCAAAGGTTTACAAAAAACCAATCCCCCTTGTCCAGACTCTAGACAACCTTTAACCATCGACATTCTCAGCATCTGCCTAACCACTCTCCGCTCAGGTCTTTTTTTTGAGGTTTCAAAGGAACCTCAAATCCATCCTCAACAGCTCCGGCATCCCAACCAAACAGTTTTCTTCACATTCCTTCCGAATAGGTGCAGCCACCACAGCAGCACAAAGGGGCCTTTCCGATCACCAAATCAAAATGCTAGGCCGATGGTCATCCCACGCCTTCGAAACATACGTTCGTTCAGATCTACATAACATTAGACAAGCACAACAAGCACTAGCATCCTTCTGAGTCTGGACCGCCTCTCCCTACTATTCGCATCTCCCCGCTAACCTAGCCCCGCAGGGCGTGTTTCCATCTGGATGCAGTGAGAGCTCTCCCTTTTCGGATGTGCGTGACCTACCACTCCTGGAGTGGGGTCTCCCATCCGAATCGCCGTGTGGGCTCCCCCGTTCAGATGCATCATAGGCTCTCCCGTTCGACTTGCTGCGTGGGCTCTCCCGTTTTGATTGCCGAGTGAACTCCCTATTTATACATATGGGGGGGCTCTCTCCTTCGAAACGCAGCGGGAGCTCTCCCGGTCGAATCGCAGTATGAGCTTTCCGTTCGGGCGCCGTGGGGGCTCTCCCTTTCCGAATCGCTGTGTGATCCTTCATGTTTTTAACCATGGAGGCTCTCCCGTTCGGATCGCAGTGTGGGCCCTCCTATCCGAAAAAATCAGGACTGGAGGTACCAAGGATCGTACGTCCCTCGAACGCGACGGGCCATTATGTCTTTATGTGATCTTCGCCCCCTGTGTCAGAAGGATGGTAGTTCTGCTTTTCCTATGTATACCGTAGGCTCCCTCTTGCTGCGTAGGGAGTTTCGCTTCAGATACTGGTGGCCCGTTTGCCTTTAGGGACGAGGACCTTCTTCCCCGTTTGTGACATCTGGAAGCCCCATGTTTTCTAACTCCATGGAGCTCCATGTCATGGATGTGGCAGGGCGTTCTCCAACCTCGTACTCAAACCTCCAGTCCCAAGATACTCCCGGAGGAGTAATATCTGAAAGTCACTGCCGCAGCAGTGCAGCGGTGAGATGTACCCCAGTCAAATTTCCACAAGCCCATGTCGTTTCACTCCACAACGAACGCAGGCACACTCTTTCAAACACAGCTCCCGCCGGAGCTCCACTCATAGCCCCACATGGTGGGCATAGTAGGGAGACGCAGTTCCAGCCAGGAGCCCCATTAAACATATCACTGCCGCAGCAGTGTCCATCCATGCTCCATACAGCTTTCAATTTCCACTCTTTTGGGGGGTAACATACTTTAAGCTTATAGGCATCCTGTATTTGATCACGTTATTCTAACTTGCTGTCCCAAATATTTATTCAACACTTTTGGGGGGCATATCAGAGCTCGAGTTGAAGCTGCTTCATCGAGCCCCTCTCCAGCGGACAGCAAGCCAAATAAGTTTAACCTAATATCTTAAAGATTTTATGGGCAAACGAACTCGTTAAATGAAGTTCCTAAACGTAAGTTAGGGAGGAGCGAGCCCATCCAATCTTTCAATCAACAAACAGAGTATATAAGCAGCCGCTTACCTCTCCCTAGTATCAGCTGTTCCAGTATCCCTCCACCTCCCCAAACTCCACCTTCATCTTAGGTACCTTGCCCTTTAATTAACAGGTCCTACATTTAGCCACTGGGGGGCATATCAGAGCTCGAGTTGAAGCTGCTTCATCGAGCCCCTCTCCAGCGGACAGCAAGCCAAATAAGTTTAACCTAATATCTTAAAGATTTTATGGGCAAACGAACTCGTTAAATGAAGTTCCTAAACGTAAGTTAGGGAGGAGCGAGCCCATCCAATCTTTCAATCAACAAACAGAGTATATAAGCAGCCGCTTACCTCTCCCTAGTATCAGCTGTTCCAGTATCCCTCCACCTCCCCAAACTCCACCTTCATCTTAGGTACCTTGCCCTTTAATTAACAGGTCCTACATTTAGCCACTGGGGGGCATATCAGAGCTCGAGTTGAAGCTGCTTCATCGAGCCCCTCTCCAGCGGACAGCAAGCCAAATAAGTTTAACCTAATATCTTAAAGATTTTATGGGCAAACGAACTCGTTAATTACTCGTAGGCCTATATTTACGAATGTTTCATGAATGAGACCCAATGTACGTACGTTAAATATAATGAATATTGAAGTATAGTAGGCTATATATAATATATAGTAGGCCTATATAATATAATATATAAACATTATCGTATTATTATAAAACTATTATATGTTGTATATTTATAAATATAATAACTGTCTGGGGCGTTTAGAGTCTTAAGAGAAGCTGGCCTCTGGAAGTTTGGCTTCAGTGACACACACACACGCTCAAGTTCTTTATATTTGTCACCTCATTCAGTAACAGCACCTCTGTGCCAACCAACCCCATTGCAAGTGCACAACATGACTTTAATGATGAATAAAACAGTTTTAGGAATCATTTGTGAACATTAACTGTGTCTGTTGATCAACTGAGATCTTAACCTTTCAGTTGTTACTGGTTAGACTATTTTAACATATAGCATGACTGAGAAATATGACAGAGAGTGAAAAGTGTGCCAACCAACACCGCTCTCCCCATTTCTTTGGCTGCTTACACTGCAGGTCTTGATGCCCAAATGCGATTTTCTGACTATATCCAATTTTTTTGACGACCCGCTTACATCATCTTTTAAAAGTGACCCACGTATCCGATTTTTGCATTTACACTATACACTGCTGAAACTACCAAATGTAGACGTTCTGACCCGGAAAAGGAAGTAAAACAGCACGAAATACAATGGATGCAAAAAATTATCCAGTGTTTTGCTTTCCACAATATTTTTTAAAAGTCATTAAGCTTTTTATCTTACGGTGGCACTGTGGCCACGAGCGCTTAAAACCGTGCCTCCCCATATCTCGTGAAATGTGTTCAAACACGGATTTATTTCTGTAACAACCCTGCATTTTTGCCTGCACTGTCTCTTCGCCCCAAACACTCAAAAGACATGAAACCTCCGCATTGCTCCACTGTGTGTATCCTTCGTCCTCCATCGCGCCTATAAGTCATGTGATCTCAGTTGGTGGTGTCCACCTAAGTTGACGTCACTTTTTTAATGACATACGACTCGCATTTACTGGGAATATCCGATTTGTCTGCTTACATGGCACACGCAAATGCACGTAATCCGATTCATATCCGATTTATTACCACGAGTGAGGCCTGAATCCGATCTGAGAAAATCGGAATCCATGCGGTTTTTTCCTGCTTATACGTTCATGGGTCATATCCGATCTGTGCCACATGAGAGGAAAAAATCGGATTTGGGTCACTTGAACCATGCAGTGGGGCTTTGTCACATAGCCTGCAGCTGTTTATCGCCTACTACTAGGGAAGTATACGATTTCGGATGCAGGCTGCAGCCACTTTCTTACAGTAGCCTACAGTAGCCTGAGATGCAGTTTGGCAGGTTTTTTTCCACCCCCCTTTTGATTGATAGATATAATCTGCCCTAATCATCGGCTGTTTTTAAACAACTGGTGATGGATGAAAGTAATTGCTTTTATCTGCAGATACATCGCACTTTTTTTTGGCCTCACCAGGTAGGAGTTGCTGGGTGGGTAGTTGGTCAACGGGCTGCGGCGATGCAGTGGCAGCGGGACAAGCGGCGGTCGCTCTCGGGTGAACGGTGGTTTGTTCAAAGCCTTGTGTAAAACTATAGCCAGAATGAGAGCCAACAGCACGAGCGCGACTCCAGCCATCAGCACGATGAACCACAGCTCGCGGTAGAACGGTGAACCTCCCGCACCGGCACCCAGACGACCACCGGCAGGAGTGGGTGCCTCGACACCTGAGGTCATGGCAGCAGACACAACACAACACTGCTTTACAGCCGGGGAGGACAGTTGTCATGCATGTCAATTAACATTTCATGTACTTTAGCATTTATGTATTCTGAACACAACTTCAGCTCATAAAAGTGATCTGGTAATGATCTGTCGCCTTTGGCTTTTGGCTTGCTTAGTTGTGGACACTTAATAGTCAACAATATTATTGATCTGCCTGCATTGACACCATTTATAAGAACTGAACTGAGCTGGACGATGACATCACTGTTTCCTCCAGAGCGGCTATATATAATAAATTAACTAAATGAATAACTTTTTAGAACAAAAATGAACCATCACTGAACTTACTTAAACTGGACTGTGACGCTATTTTCTTCAAGAAACAAAGTTTGTTGCATTATTTTCCTGTTATCACTGTAAAGCTGCTTTGAAACAATCTGTAATGTAAAAAGCGCTATATAAATAAAGGTGATTTGACTGTATAGTGATCTGGTAAACAGAGCTGTTTTAACTGAAAGCAACTTGCATTTCTTAAAATATATCAGTGCCATTGTTTTATCTCTAGATGCACACCATGTGTTTTTCTAAGGCATGTTTATTAAAGCTACTTAAATGTCCTAATAAAACTAAAGCCTAATCCTGTCTTAATCTAAGCTCTGTCTGACCAGGCTTGATCTTTAAAATGTAGGCTATTAAATGTGTAAATTAGCAATTAGATTAATAAATGCTGTAGAAGTATTGCTCATTCAAGTTAACAAATGAAACCTTATTGTAAAGTGTTACTGAAATATTTTTAACAAATAAATCTTATTTCTGAGATGATATGGACGGCACACACTGAATATAACATGCACGTAACGAGGTCATGTGACCTCATAGTGGGTCGTATTCATTGTATAGCTACTGTGCAGGACTCCAGTACTGACGTCTGATAACAGCCTGAACGTCACGTCTATCTAGTTTCACTGTCCTGGTCTTAGCAGTAATCACATAGCCAGAGGTCTCTGTAACAAGACACGTTTGCTCCATATCTCTCTCTTCCAGCTGAGGACGTTTGATATTTGTCCATCATCCTGCTTTTTAGCATTACAACACAAGTGGGTTTTTAAAAAAGCACCTTGACGCACTGCAAAAAATAAAATATTGATCTGATGGACTCTCTTTGTTTTAGTCCAAATGACAGCATCCAATAAAGCTGCACGCATCTCATCTGTGTCCAAACTCAGAGGTCAAATGAACACAGTGGCATGAAACAATTCAAATAAAACGAGCAAACGTCACAAAGAGTTTCACTCACCAGTGTCTGCGTCCGTGGTTCCTCTCATAGGGGTTCAGGGACCCCAGGAGTGTGTGTGTGACATGAGACAGGGCCCTCAAACGGACCGGAGAATCAACCATGAGCGCTGACCTGAAACATTTTATAGATGTGCATCTGGAAAACACTTAAATGAAGCTATTCGGTCTGTGTCGTCTCTTCAAGGTGAGTGTGGAAAGGACAGAAACGGTGTGTGTAAGGTGTCTCTGCAGCTGTAATTGTACTCCAGGGCTCTATGGTAACACGAGGTGATAGAGAGATCAGTTACCGCAGTAAAACCGACTGTTGTCATTATGATACAACCCAGTGAACACACAAACCCTTTTTACCTGGTACACACATTTTGTCTCACTTGCTCTTTTAATCCACAGACAGTACCTGTGTAAACACAGTAACTGATTTTAACATGGTTATGGTCTTATGTTTCACAAGATCAGATTTTAACATGTGAGCTACAACATCTTTTTTGAGCTGACGCACATCTTTCAATTTCATTCTACTTCATCTGACTCACATATGGGATTTAAAGGGTTAGTTTTAACTCAAAAATGTATTACTCACCCTTATGTCATTCCAAACCCATTAGACTTTCGTTCATCTTCGGAACACAAATGATGAAACAATGTATCTTTTTGATTAGATCTGAGAGCTCTCTGTCCCTCCATTGACATATACACAACTACCACTTTCAAGCCCCAGAAAGGCAAATCTATGTGACTATAATAGTTTAACCTCAATTTTGTGAATCGACGCGAGAGCTTTGTTTGCGCAAAAAAAAACATAATTTACCACTTTATTTACAAAATATGAATCTCCAACCAGTGTTTACGAGAACACCACAACATGCTTTGAGTCAAAAAAGTAACAAAGTAATAAAAATGACAAAACACACATTAGGCCCAACAAAATTACCCAACATTAAACTAAAATTAAAATGTATAAAAAATAAAGAATAATTCAAAATATTAACAAAAACTATAGGCCTAATACTATATCAAATATCTAGATTCTAAAATAACATGCTGCTAACTTCTTGTAATCTAGTTAAAACCATATTTTGAGGGCAATACTTTTCATCTAACAGATGTGTGTATGCATATTCAAATTAATTTCTAGTCCAATATGCTAGATGTTTCGCATTGTATAGAGCAGGTTTTTATTTGTCTGTTTATTTCCGTTCAAACCACACATTAAGTGAATATTGAGGTTTGCTGTAATGTCGTATCTTAACCACTAGAGGCCAGTGCGGATTAAAGTGCAGATCACAGATATCTGTGGTGCGGATTGCTCTCAGTAGAAACCTCGCCAAACATGTCTCTGCAATCTTTGTTATAATAAAAACATGTTGAGAAATACAGATTTAAAGAAATACTAATCGTTTTAACAATTTTTGACTTGCCATTTACGAAACGCGTTTAACGTGTCAACTTCCTGATGATTTCAGCAAGTATTAAAATGAAATATTCATAGATATTCTGCTGATATCATCAGATATATGAGGCTTGTAGATGAGTCAGTTCCCGGTGCACGATGCGCACTATATCAAACAGAGCGGATTTAATTTATCGTGACGCTAAAATGCTAATCCATTAATTCCCTGATCAGCATTCATGTTTCGCCTGGTCGCGTTTGAGACACCGAGGGTTTATTAGTGAATTAATGCACTCTGGGATAAAATCATCTGCAGATGTAATTAATCACACAGACAATCACACTAACTCGCTTACAGACTTGACAGAACCAGCACACTATGAGCTGCTGTTTGCTAAATCAAGCTGTCAGATTTTCCGTTTTCAATTTATGACTAAAAATAATGATACTTTCACATTTTGTCATACAACACACACATAGCAAAAACATTATGACCAGTCACAGCGGTAAAGCAAAAAAGTAAATATTGTTGATCATTTCCTAACAAGGCCTCATTAAGTTAGATGGAAAGCAATCAGTTCTCATAATCAACATGTTGGATGCAGGAGAAATAGACAGGAATAAAGATCTGAGTGACTTTGACCTGCAGGGCAGATTATTATGGCAGAGCGACTGGGTCAGAGTATCCGTCAGCTCTCGGTCAGCAGTGCTGAGTAATTACCAACAGTGCCAGAATTTACTGGCAACAGGGTGTTGGGCTCTTCGATGCACGAGGAGGGCAATAATGGCTATCCCGTCTGGTCCGAGCCAACAGAAGGTCTACTGTGGCACACTAAATTTCAATGATGGTTATGGGAGGAATGTGTCACAACACACATGGAGCAGCGGCAGAACAATCAGAGATCTATGATGACCCGTCCACTGCCGAAAGCGGCTACAATGGGAACATGAGCCTCGAAACTGGACCTTGGAGCAGCAGTGGAAGACGGTCGTCTGGGGAAGTGATGCACCAGGATGGACTGTAGGACGACGATAAGCCGGTGGAGAGTGTGTGCCGCTCTGGTCAATGTTCTGCTGGGAAACCCTGAGTCCGGTCATTCATGTGGACATTTATTTGACATGTCACCTTCCTAAACACCGTTGCAGACCAGATACACCCCTTCATGTCAATGGTGTTCCCTGGTGGAAGCACATAGTCACACTGCACACATTGATCAGGTTTGAGGAACATGATGAAGAGGTCAAGGTGTTGCTCTGGCCTCCAGATTCTCAAGATCTTAATGCAGTTGAGCATCTATGGGACGTGCTGGACCAACAGGTTCAGTCCACAGCGGCTCCACCTCAAACTACAGGACTTGCAGGATCTGCTGCTAAAGTCTCGGTGTCAGAGACCACAGGACACCTTCAGGCTCTTGTAGAGGCCATGCCTGGGTGGGACGGAGCTGTTTTGCTTTGGTTTGTTTGTGGTTTGTCCACCAAAGGGTCCTAGGTCTGAAAAAGGATGAAGACCCCTTGCATCACGGCAGTGACTTTTGTACAGGCATGCATCACTCATGCTTCAGAAAATGTAAAAAAAATAGTGATAGTCACAGAAATTCAGAGCACGATCTGTTCGGCAGTCCCACCACACACACACACACACACTCACACTTGGATTTCATTCTGTTAGCAGAGCCGTACAGGATTCTTCCAGTGTAAGCATCTTTTATACGAGCCTCATTAATTACCGTCAGTGTAGAGACTAATGTGTTGATGGTTCCTGACGGCCTGTGAAATGATGCAGGAGGAGCTGTCTGACATGCTGTTCATTTATCTGCATCGATTAGCTTGATTATTCATAGACATAAAGGTACAACAGCCATCACAATGATCTCTCTTTCTCAGAGAAATTAAATTCCAGACCTACATTGACGAGACACTGGACTCTTTTGACTTGGACCGGTGAGCAACTAACCAGAATACCAGATCTTATTTTAGATGATCAAAATCACTGTCGCTGGAAAAACATCCCACCAAATGACCGTGATATCGAACACAAATAAAGTAATTGTTTATTTACAAGGAATATTTGCTAATCTAAATAGCTATATTTGCTAAATATACGCTTGTATGTTTATATTTGTCATGCAAGCCCTTTATCTGAAAAGAAAACAATCAGATTGCCATAATCCAAAAATAAATAATATAATTAGAAATCTTTGGGTTTGAACACAAATTAATGTGCAGAATAATCTGCTTGTTTTTTGTGAATGTAACCCTGACCGACGTTTCTGCAGGAAAAACAGCTCAATTCTTCAAATCAAAGACGAAAAACACAGATGTCAAGTCCGTTATTTAATGCATTATTACTGAATATCTTTATATCATTTTTGCCATTTATTTAAAAAAAAGTCATTGCATATAATCAAACAGATAACGAGAAGATAAACTTACATTATTGTTCATGAGAGCATCGTACAACATCCACAAAACCTTCACAAGCAGAAACAGTGAGAATCACACACAGAACTGCGACTGCCATAAATAACAGACCCAGAAAATCCAGAATAAACCATCAGAGAATGACCGTCATTCTTAAACTAACAAACTCTCGAGATCAGTCTGTCCTGTTCACATTGATTCTATCTTGTTTTGTTTCCTTTATTATGGTAAACATATTCATATCTGATCATCACAATGACTGACAGACAACAATCAGCGCATAAATATTACATAAAACCACATGTAAGAAATGTCTCAGAACAGTACAGCATGAATGAGTAAATGTCAGATTATTTTGAGTGAACTATCCCTATGATCTAATTCAATCAACATTCAGTTATTGCTTCAAAACGTACTTTCACATCTCTGTGAATGGCTGAGAACAGATATTGCTATGGCTTTTCTTTTCTGCCTTCCAATTTGGTGTGCTAAAAGGTTCAAAACGTGGTAAAAATGGAATAAACAAAAGCTGCAATCAGCTTAGTTTGTGCAGATATATTCATGAGCATCTGGAGATTAAACAAATCCTATGTTAGTATATAATCTATTAGTTAAAATTTCAAAAGTGCATTGGTACGCCTCTGTTTATTTGATGTTTCCACACTTAAATGTTGTTAATCTATATATCATATTTCTGTCTAAACTGCATTTCTGAGACTTTTTGAATTGAAAATGATGTGTAGTAGATGTTGTTGAACACTGTTTTGCCTTTATATTTGTGTCAGGAGAGTAATTACTGACTATTATTTATTTGGCAAGGCTGACGCTCTCTATTATGATAGAACTCTTATGAAAACTGAAAAATATTTCTGCAAATGAAATGCTCCTTATCTTTAATAAATTAAATAAATAAAAAACCATTATAAATAAAGTTTCACCATTAATTCAACGACATTCACACCCAGCACTTACTGATGTACTACCATCAGTCGGTAAGATTTATTTTTTATTTTTGAAAAAGTCTCTTCTGCTCACCAAGCCTGTATTTATTTGATCAAAAATACAGTCAATTATTGAGAAAACCTATTAAAGTTTTCTGTTTAAATATATTTTAAAATGTAATTTATTCCTGTGATCAAAGCTGAATTTTCAGCATCATTACTCCAGTCTTCAGCGTCACATGATCCTTCAGAAATCATTCTAATATGATGCTTTGCTGCTCAAGAAACATTTCTGATTATTATCAATGTTGAAAACAGTCGTGTTGTTGATTTGTATTTTTCAGGATCTTTTGATGAATAGAAAGGTTAAAAAAAATGAACAACAAATTTTAAACAGTAGTGTATACTTCTTTTTTGTTAGTTAAATCAATCCTCAACTATGTGAAACTGTATTTGTTGGAGTATATCCTGTACTATTTTTATATGTC